CTGGAGATGTGCCGAAACAGTGTCGTCAAGAGGTACTGGTCAATGGACACGCAGCCCTGTCGTTTCCTGTCCTCTACAAGGGCCCGAGTGCTCTCGTCCGCATCCGTGGCCTTCACGACCGCGAGAAACTCGAGTGCATGGAGTGCTTCCTCCGCGGAGCCCAACACGCGATCGGCAGTACCACGCTGAAGAAAGAATAAATGAATACGCTCCACACCGACAGTGGCGATTGTGTGACGAAACACCTCTAGCGCCTCCACAGACGGTGGTGGTGTCTTCATGGATATTTGGTTCGTTCCCCCCACACCGGTGCAATTCGCCGCTCGCTTCTCCTCCTCCGCTACTTCCCTCACTTTTTGCTTTTCCTGCCGTCCACGACCGTGTGCAGGAGCACGCAGATACGTCTTCTCCAGGTAGTCGAGCTCCCTCGCCATGTAGTGCAGCGCCGTCATCATACTCATGCAGGAGCAGGTGCTCTTCTCCTGCACCACGCAGTGTAGTGCCAGCTGCAGGGATGCGAAGGACACATGCAGCGCATCGTCGGTCAGACCAAAATCAGCGACGAAGCCGAAGTCCCGACCGTGAAGGGCGCAGCACGCCAGCGCCCCGTCCACATTTTCCATCCAGAAACTCCGCAGCGTCTCGCGGAGAAGACGACGGTTGTGGGGGTCGCGACACTCCCCAACCTCACGCCGCAGCCGTCGGCACTCCGACATAAAGTGGCTCATGGAAGCGGCCTTTTGTACCGACGATGAGCCAAACAAGCCGGTGGCGTCGGGGCGAGCCTCTGCACCAACAGGAGCAAACCGACCACACGCGGCCTCAACCACATCGTCTATGGATTGCAAGGCGGCCGATGTTCCTGCAACCGGTGACAGCGACGAGGACTGCATCGGCGTCGCAAGGGCACGCTCGTGCGCAGGCATGTCAGCCGCTGCCTCCAGGATGGCCATCCTCCTCAACTCCAGTCGGGAACGCGCCGAGTCACGATGATTGCGGTGGCGATGGCGCAGCACGCTTCCAGCCCATCGCCGCAACAGCATGGAGCCACACACTTGTCTACGCCACCCCTTCCCTCGTTTGCAGCCGTTTCCCTTTAACCCTGCTGCACCTTCGGCCACCCCACCCACTGAGATGGTGGAAGGAGAGGAGAGCGAAGAAGCTGAGTGAAATACCACGAGTGCCGTATGAGCAGAATTTCCTTTTTTTTTACTTTGTTTCCTCCAACGTAGAAAAAAGCAATGTTTTCTTTTTCGGTATCGCACAGCCACAGAGCAACGTGCACACAAGGATGTTTTTTTTTTCCGCCAACAACATCACAGCACTGAACGCCAATGTACAATGGCACCCTTAGACGAAAGAGCATCCTCTCTGGAGATGCGCAGCTTACTTAATTCCCCCAACGACAACTGCGAGACCAGCGAGCCACCCAGGACAGGTAGCAGCCATGGGAACTCCGCCAGCGGCAGCTGCTGAAGATTAAGTAGTCCGCCAACCTGCCTCGAGGAGCTAGTAGAGTTGGAATCACTGTCATTCGAAGACGACGTGGTGAATGATGAGGATGAAGAGGAGGATGACGATGATGATAATACGTTGTTTCTCTCCTGTGTCTCGCTACGAGCACGGACCGCTTCCTCAAGAAAGTCTTGAAGTAAAGGAGCCACACGCAGCGCCTCGCCCGCAATGATCACCGACAACGGCGCGTCCTCAGCGACAGAAGCGAGGAGTCGCCCCAACGCCCCTCGTCTTCGACCCGTGCCGTTGGCTGCAGTTTCCTCCTCGTACTTCTCCTCGCCCTCATCGCGTCCCCGCTTCATTCGAGTGCCTTTATGCTGTACTTCTTCTGGTTGAGCTCCTCTCAATGATAATACCCGCTGGTACACATCATCACCAAAGAAAGAGGCCAGCGCATTGTGATACAATTCGTCCAACAGATCCACCACACCCGTCGAAGGCGAACAACCACCTGCCCAAGCCCTTCGAAGTGAAGATGACACAACAACATCGCCTCCATCTTTGCCACTCCATATATTTCTTGCCACCTCGGATCCCTCATCCTTCGGCTGAGGGCAGTTCCTGTTGGCTGCACTGGGCGTCACAAGGCGCGACAGTGAGCCGGCACCGCTTGCCGCGTACTTCAGTGTGGCACCCGCCTCTAAACGGGCGACGCTGAGGGCCTCCAGTGACGCGTGCAGCACAAGTGTTTCCCGAAATCCCGTTGCGAAGGCGTCAGCCACAACATCCGACAATACAACTATCGTCCGCACCTGGAGTCTCTCAAACATAAACAAGACAAGTCCTTCTCGGTACTCTTGGGAGGAGTGCATTGGGATAATGACGACAACACCCCTGTCGAACACGTGTTCTCGGAGCCTCAAGACAATACGTGACACCGCCTCCTGTCCGGATGGCGCCGCCATCGTTGCTGGCGCCGAAGCAGCAGCAGAAGCAGCAGGAACACGGCGGAATACACCCGCCGGTATGGGGCCCTCCTCCGCGAAGGGGCGCGTCTCGCCAGCACGGCAGAGATACGTGGTCAGCTCCCCTATCACCATGACAACTGGCCTTCCCTCCGGCTCATCAACGGCGCTGCTGGTATTGATCATCTAGCCACGATGCGGTCGGCGGAAGAAGACGGTGCCCCCGCTAGCAGAAGCACCTCGTACCAGGGGTGGAGTGGAGGTTGCCTCAGAGCCAATCGCACAACGAGACGCGCCAGCCCTTTATTCTTTGAAGGAGCAATACAAAACATGAGAAGACAAGGGGGGAAGGAAGAACAAAAAAAAAACCCCAAAAATGGGAACAAATTACATGTCGCTCCATTGAGCCAGAGTGGTGGTCCTCCCTTCAGTGGCACCAAAGCGCAACGCCACCCTTCGGGCGGGGTGGTACGAGACCGCAACAGAGTGATGCCGCCACAGGCTTCACACCTCACACAAACGGCTCCCAAACATGCAGCCAGCCGCAGGAACAAAAAATACTCCCAGGAAGAAGACGGAGCGTTCACCGCCGTGGAACGGCCACACACGCCCTCCCCCTTTATTGCTCACAGGGCCAAACATCACAAAATAATAAAAAAAACACTTTCCTCGTACACAAGGAAGGAATATGTGTATGCGTATTTTGCGTCTTACCACATCAATTAGTCTTTTTATTCTCCGCCGTAGTGCCCGTCACGAGTTGCTCCAGTTGCTGTTTCTTCGCCTTCTTTGCATCAAGGTAGCCGCTGAGGACCTGCATCACAAGAAGAAGCAAAGCCAATCCCATCAACACGTACTTGTGCCACCACGGCTGCTGATTCACGCCTTTGCGCGACAGCAGCGCACTGTTGGGAGCAGCGTAGCCGTACATCCAAATACTGTCAGCCACACTGCCATCTTTTTGCAGCAGCAGCAACGTGAGGGAGAACTCATGTTCAGAGAAGAAACGAAGCGTGAAGGTGCCCGATGCGTCATCCTCCAGTGTAACCGTTCCCGTTGCAACGCGCGCCACTTGTGGCACGTCACTGAGCACGGAGATGAATGAGCTCCTCGATTCATGTCCGAAGGCAAAGGCGGCTTTGGCGGTCGGCAGCACTTCGTCTTCTTCAATTGCCGCCAGACGCTTCTCGAGAAGCTTCGCGCTGAATGGCAGTGTCCACGCACGCAGCATCCCGGAGGTTGCACCGGAGAACTCAAGCTGAACGTCGATACTCAGAAGGGACGGGCGCGCATCAACTGAGCCCTGCGGTGGCATCTCGCCCATCAGATGGCGCTGCTGCGAGAAGTGCTCCAGGGCAATTTGCTCCGACCCTTCTCGGTCGTGCCTCTGATCCCCGACCGGGATCAGTTCACCGTGAATGCGTTCAGGAAAATTTAGCGACCCTTTTAAGTCAAGAGTCGCGTTAAAGACGCCGTACCTGTCGGAAATGACACTAACCGCAAAGGGCTGCGCCATCACTTGCTCCAGGAGTGGAGCATTGGCTGTTGCGCTTGTGTCCAGCTCCACTGCAGTTGTCGCGGTCGTGAAGAGGAGGCAAAGAAGGGCACCGTAGAACAGCACGGCTGCAGTCCAACTACCGTGACGCATGATTCGTGCTAGGTGCCTTTGTGTTTCCACCTACGCTTCTTTATATTATCACCGTTGTTTAGCTCAACACTACACATATAGTCAAAAAAAAAAAACGCCAGGGAGAAGTAGAAAATAATGATCGTAAGGCTATTTTATGGCTTTTTTTTTTCTTGCCTTATTTGAGTACACCAACAGCAGGAGTGCCACTTGTAGCCCCGTCAGCACCCCCTCACTCCTGTTTGGGGTCGTGAAAAAATAAAATAAAATAAAAGCCAGATTGGAGGAATGGCAGCAACCCCGCGATAGATACGAGAGCACACAGACAATGTGGCTGATCCCTCGTGTTGCCGTTCCCATCGCCGATTCCCCGCAACGGTGGCGCAGCAGAGGCACCAAAATACACCAAGAAACACGTCTGTGGTATAACGGGTACCCTCCCCCTCTCAGAGCGAACAGCCGGCACCGCGCGTCGGCAAAAACACATACACACAAACGCGGCGAACCGGTAGGTAACCCTTCCCGTCCGCACTCTCCAGTGATTGCAGTAAAGCACGACAACCCTTATGTGTGTCGGACAGGCGCTTCTAACTAAGAATAGGAAAGGCGCCAAACTTATAAGCGCAGCAGACGGATGCGAAACTGTCCTTCGAGGAAGGTCAGGGGTACGAATTCGACACAACAAGGCCAAAAGGCATATAAATCTATCATCACTGCGGCCATCGACATCATCATCATCATAAGCAGCAGAAGCACCTTGCAGTTGAAGATGTATCAGAATTTTCAGAGAACTCCCATAGACGTCAGAAACGTGCCCCCAGATAGGCAAACAAAGGCACCCACAGCACCCCTCTTAGAATGCGAGGACACACCTCGCACTCGGGGATGAAGGAGTGTGAATCTCATCCCACCGGTGCTGTGAGTTATGGCAGTATGCAATAGTGGCACAGAGCAGATGAGGTCAAACACAAAAGTAAAAGCCGAGTTACAGTCGGCACTGCGTCTTCTATTTTAAACAGAAGGTCCAACTTTAACAGGTACCGCTAGAGCGTGTCAATACATGCATACTTGTACGTGTCTCTCTCCCTCTCGGTATATATAGATATATATATATATATATTTGAAGGGGGAAACCAATTCGAGGCAGAGGCATGCATACACACGCACCAGAAGTGACTAATACCATCCGATGGCAGAGAAGGCAAGAACAGATCAAAAAAGAGAAGACATCGGTGCACAATCAGCAGAAGAGTTCATCATCAAAAAACACCTCTTGTGTTGGCCACGTATTTCAAAGCCTCTTGGCGTTTGACTTTTGGGCCATAAGAGAGTTTAACCCCAGACGGTTTTTCTATGCATGATATCGTTAAAAGAAGCTTCTTATTCATTAACAAGTATCTTTCCTTTTTTCTTTCCCTCTTTCTTGTTGACGGGATGTGCGAATGACACCAGTTCTTCATAACAACTAGGAGAAAAAGATTAAATAGCTCTGCAATCCCCTCCGTGACTCTCCGTTGTACTCTGTTCTTTTCTCGCCTCATTTTCTCTTTCCTGCTCCGCCTTGTCGTGGAGTAGGTTATTTCCGTTTCTTCTTCAGGAGTGAGGCGAGGTCCTGATCCACCTTGACACGCTTGAGTATATTGTCGAGTTGCTCACGAAAAACCTCGATGAAGTCAGCATCCAGCTTCTGTCCCTCAATAAACGGGTGCCGATGGACGTTCTCAATGATGGACGTGATCACTTCCGCCCCACTTGGCGTTTGTCCCTCGCTTGCCACAAGGACAGTCATAAGGTATGCGTTAAGGGACGCCTTGGTAAAAAAGAGGTAGTCGGTTTTTGCCCCGAGAAGTACACGTGTGGCAGCGTACAAAATGTAGAGCTTTTTGTGAGGATCATCCTTGAAGTAATCATGCATGCGCTTAGCCAGAATGCCAAAAATGTGAGCGGCATTGAGTGGGGAGTATAAGAAGATTGTGTCGTCTAGCCGCTTCTCACTCTTTTCATCAACGCAGTCATCGATGAGATCGCAGATGGTCTGTATTACGCTAGGACTCAGTGATTTCTCCGACTCCCCACAGCTGTTGTACGTAGCGCCTAACAGTGACTGCAGTCGTGCCTCGAGCGTCATATCCGGCGTGGGCCGCTCTCGCGTGAAGCACGTCGGTGGCTGCGGTGCCGCAACTGTGCCCACCGTGACGCCCATCGCCGGCAGAGCCACTATCGCGCCGCTGTTGGCAGCAGCACCACCACCACCACTACCGGGGATGCCAGGGCCCGCGGTAAGAGCGCCGACAAAGCCGTCGAGACTGGGGGCCCCCGGAACGCCTGAAAGCGGCTCACCACTGCCACCCAACAGGGCGTGCTTGCCGCGGCGCATGCGGTCCGCCATTGTCATGTTGTGGTTGCTCTTACCAAAGCTGATGCGCATCGGGGCACCTTTCAGGAGGGTATTGTTAAGCGCCACACGGGCCACACGCGCGTGTTCAATGCTGTCAAAATGCCCAAACGCAATGCCGCTAGACTGGATGAACTTGGAGTTGATAAAGCCTTCAAATGGCTCAAATAAGTCTTCAACGTCCTCTTCCATCACATCCGATGCGAACTGACCAAGGTACACCACATTTGTTGGTGTTTCATTGGAAGGAATGCCGTCAGGGGTCAGCCCACTTTCAGCACTGGACTGGTTACGCTGTGCTCGTCCATAGTTAAGGACAACCCTCGCTCCACCAATTGGCTGGTTTCGCATCAGGTCCAATGCTTGTGTGCAGCTTTCGATTGTTTCGAAGTGAATGAAAGCCATGTTTCGGCTGTCCAACCGGGAGAGAGTTGTGATCTTGCCGAACACCTTGAAGTTCTCGTTCAGCTCCTCGTTAGAAACAGTGGGTGGCAAGTCCCCCACCCACAGCACATTTGTGGGTTCCATGCGCTCCTCCTCACGGCGTGGGCGGCGCCGCCTGTCCTCATTGTCGTGCCGTTCATCATCACGTCCTCGCCGGGGCTGCCTGTAGTTGTTGGCCTCTTGCGGCATTTCTAGCTCCTCCTTTGAGTACTCAAACATTTTGCCGTAATTGAAACGCGCCCTACCGAGGGAGCCTCGTGCACTGAGCGCCTCCACGGCATTGCGTGCCTCATCCACATATCGAAAATGCACAAAGCAGTAACTCTTATCAGGAACTTTAGCAATTCGAATTACCCGCCCAAATTCAGAAAATTCACGTCGCAGTACATCCTCTGTGTGCTCGTATGTGTCAAGGTTTCCCACCCACACGGTGTTCGTCGGCTCCCGCAGCTCATCATCGCGGCGACCCCTGTGGGCATGCCCACCACGGCGATCTCCATCATGTGGTGGTGCGGCCCCATAAGGTGCTTGTGGGTACGACGTTCCCATCGGCGGCTGCGGGGGTGGCGCAAACCCACGCGGATCACCAGTTGGCGCCATTGCGGAGCGGTGATCATCCCTCCTTGCGTACATGTCGTTCGAGCTGCGCAGCACGCCGGGCGGCATGAGGTATCCCTGTTCTCCACCCTCCGGGGGCCACTGGGCGAGGTGCGACGGGGGCTGCGGGTAGCGCACACCGGGTGGCGGAGCACCACCTTGTTGTTGCCGTTGCTGGTGCTGGTGCTGCGGTGGCAGAGGCGGTACACCAACACGCACGTTGGATTGCATGTGTGGTGGCGCGCTGGACGGGTGCGTGAGCCCAGGCGGCATGGGCGGCATGCCAACACCAGGCGGCAGTTTAAAGCCAGGCGGCAGTGGCGGCATCCCCGGGGGACGGGGAATAAAGCCACCAGGTGGCTGTGATGGCCCGCTCATTACTCGCCTTCTCTTTTTTGGATTCAAACAAAAAAAAAAATCTGATTGTCGCGATACACAATCAGCGGAATCCAAAAAATAAAAGCGCAAAAACTAGGGGCGGAGAAGCACAAACAAAACACACACACACACACACGCCGTCTTGAGAGGACACGAGGCACACACGTGAGACGTAGGCCCACCGATATGAGCTCACATAAAGGAGCATCGGAAGAGTTGCGCAACACCGATATGCATTATGGATACTGGAGCATCAAATATAACCGTATATCATATTATTTCGTTCTTTCGCTTGCATTGTCGTTGTTGTTCTTTTCTTTTTTTCAATGTATCGCCCTCCTCAATCGGCACCGCACTCCCCAGGTGTCAAACCCTCTACATTCCTCGTTAGCACCAGCACCGCATCATAAAGCACCGCGTACTCCGTCTGCAAAGTACCTTCACAGAGGTACGGTAGCTTCGTCCACCGCTCCAGCTTAAAGCCACATGGAATTAAGACATTATCCACAAGACGCTCAAGAGAAGCTTCAAATGTTGCGCCTCTGCAACACTCGCCTCCCTCCATCGGCAACTTCTGAGCCGGGCGGCGTTGCTGTTTGCCATCCTCCACAAACGGACACCATGGCAGCACAACAGCGAGGAGGAGGATGCCATTGGGTGCCAAAGAGTCACGCATCGAATGTAGTAGCGTCAGTGGAGCATCGGCACGGTCGAGCACATTCAGACACGAGATAACGTCGTACTGCCGCAAGGAGCCATCGGCGTAGCGAAACGGATCTTGGTACGGCAGGACTTCGTAGCCCCGCCACCAGAGTCTCCATCGCATGGGAATAGAGTACTCTGTAGCCGTTACATGACGAAAGAGCGGCTGCAGCTCCGCCGTAACTCCACCATCACCGGCGCCGATGTCGAGGAGTGTGTCGAACAATGGGCCCGTTGGCAAAGGAAACGGTCTGTCTTTGCCCTGCAGCAACGACAACGCCTGCGCGGTGTGCATGACGAACATATGGCCACGACCAACGATCCCGTTCGCTGTCGTGAGGGAGAAGACAGTGCACAAGAGATTGGACAGTATTATCTTCACTGCACTTACATCAACTGCACGCGTGATCCACTGCTGTGTTTCCTCATCCATGCCCATGCCCATGTACTTTGATGTTATGTGCTGCGGGAGGCACTGCACATTTACCGCGTAGCTGATGGGCGGCCTCTTTCTTTGGCCACTCCAAAAGCGCGACAAGTTTTCCAACGCGGTAGGTGCCATTCGCTGGTGTGTGAAGGGACAACAAGAACAAGCGGAGGAAAGGAGTACTACTATCAGTCACTGCGCACACACAGAGGCCTCGAAATCACACATAAACAAAACAAGGGAAAGATCCGCAAGAGCAGATTGTGTCATTATATATATATATATATATATAATATCCTGGCTCGGGTGTGCGAGTCGCCAGCGGAAGTGTCGGGAGAGAGAGGGGGGAGTAATGTTGAAAAACTGGAACATGTAAATATGAACCACATGCACACGGTCACATGGGTGAGTAACAGAAGGAACGGGAAAAGCACCTGGATAAGCAACTGGCCTCCCGTTCGAAAACCGGCAGAAACAAAGAAAACAGAAAAAGACGCACGGCGGTAATCACACAAGGCCAAAGATAATGGGGAGGGTGGAAAATGAGAGAGGGAGAGAAAGACAAGGGGGAGTGACGGCACCAATGGGGCAGCCACGGCTCCCCCAGCCATCTCCACAGATACCCAGCGAAAGAGGGAGAGAAGAGCCGCGGAATACAAAGCGACCTGCGGTCCCAGCGGTCTTGGGCTTCTCTCTGTCTTTTTTTTCCCCCAAGTGATTCCCTTCTTTTTTGTGTGTTCGCATTCCTCGCTGCACGCACTCAACCGAAGAAAGCAGCTATCCACTGCGTATTATAGCCCCACAGTGGCTTCTGTTGTGCTATTTAGCTTCCGTCCCCCACTTGCGCCGCCCTGAAGCATCGGCGGGGCGGCCGCAGCCACTCCGCCTTAGGCGCCAACAGCACGGCAGAGAGAGCGCGACGGAAAAAGAGCCGTCCATCTCCGCTTTCATGCATCTCCGAAAACATTTAACCTATATCATATTCCTTTACTTGAAAGACACTCGTCGTTCTCATTCATTTTCTTCATCTTATTTCGTTCACCTTCAACACCTACTCTTAGTTGCTTTGCACACCCTCGTCGTCTCGCATGCTTTCTCCAAATATGTCCATCCTCTTCACCTCCATTGGTTGTAGAATACGCTACAATCTCTATATACCACATACATACATACATATACATATATATATATATGTATGTGTGCGTTCATCCAGAGATATTAACATGCTGTTTGCCCCTGCGTGTGTGTGTGTGTGTGTGTGTGTGTGTGTAGGTGTGTGCAAGTGCTTGGGGGAGGGGGAAATGGGAGTGTTTGCTTGTTCCCATTATTCACGTCCCGGTGTATTTTTTTTTTGACAATGTGTTCACCGAAACAATGCGGTACCGTGACGGTCAATATCCACATATAGCATAGTTACAGGCTAACAAACCCGCCTGCACGGTGCATGTGAGTATATATGCGTATCTCCGCATACAGAATCGTCTTCGTGTGGCGGAAAATACATAAAGAAATATATGTGGTTATACATATACTCCCAATCAAAAAACAACAAAAAAAAAAGCGAGCATCGATCAGATATCGACACTATTTCACAACAAATGGCTTGAGAACCAGAAAAAAAAAGATGCATGGATCCATTTGCACCGAAGAGCAGTGCAAGGCGGCACACCAGTGTCCACAGCCGCAGCTCTCTTGATAAAGGCTTGCAGCTCTCTCTTTCTCTCTCTCGCTCTCTCTCTCTCTCTCTCTGTGTGTGTGTGTGTGCTGTCCCACGCACCCCGCTGAGTGACGAAGCGAATGCTGCCTTGCTGTCGTGTAACAAACCCCACGCGAGGCACACCCCGTGACACATTACACCTGCCAGTGGTGACGACAGCGATAGTGGACTTTTCGTGCTATGCCGTTTCGAAGCCATCTGCGCAACATTACATGATCAACGAGAGTATGCCACCACTCCACTCTACCGAAGCCCTCGTGGGTGGGTGATGGAGAACCGACGCAGAGCAGGAAGCCCAAATCCCTCTCCGCCAAATGGTGGACACAACAGTGAAATGCGGTGCATGTCGACAATGATTTCAACTACTTGCAACGGAGTTGGTCAAGAATCATACATCTATGGTTGCCCCCTCCTCACATTCGCATCATATCAACCGCGACGTGGTATCTGCATCATGCGTTTCCCATCCACTACCGATGCGCATTCCTCTTGTTAAACCTCGCAGCGACCAGTTGACTACCCAGCAGCTTCGTTCTCTCCCGCTCATGCCGCAACTCTTCCTCGATGTTCTTTTTCTTGTCTAACGCCTCGCGCAACCCTATCACTTCCCCCTCAAGCTGCTTGATACGTTTCTTCGCATCGTAAGCTTCGTGGTAGAAGCGCGAAAACTCCTCCACCAGGGAATCCAGCTCCTCCACCTCCGGCGTCACGCGGACACACGCCCCACTGACTTCAGGCGCAAACGCACCACCTTTGGGGCTCGACGAAGTCGCGCTTTTATTTTCATCGCCGTGCATCACCTCTGTATAAAACTTTTTCGTGTCTGCTGGGACATTGATTGGCTCCGCGTCCATCTTCTTCTCTCCCTTTCCACCCTTCTTCACAACACTGTTTCCACTATTTTCACCACCACCACCGCCGCCGTTACCACTACCAGTGGCATCATCATAATCTTCATCTCTTATCACTTCCTTTTCACACCTAATAAGAGTAACAAGTTCCTCCACCTCGTACACGCCTGGGCGGCCAAGAGAAACTTCAGCACTCGCATGGCCACCTTTCGCTGTTTCACCACCCTTGTCGTCATGATCATCGACGTCGGGGGTGATAGGGCTCTCTCTCTTGGATTTCTCCGTTGCTTTCTTACTTGGGCTCACAACACCACCTGTTGCAGCTCCTGCAGGAGTTGGCCCTTCGTTTCCTACTTTCGCCCGCAACGCGGCGGGACCCAACAGCACATGCTTTGCAGCTTGTGTGTCAACCACGACGATGGAGTACGGGGGGTTGCTGGACACCGTCTCTACGCGCGGCGAAGTGCCCCTACATGCGCGATAGAGGTTCTCATCCAAATACAACCGGTCTTCGTCGCCCAGCGGCACACGTATAACGTGTCGCGATAATGGCGTCTGTGGGCTCCGGTCCTGTGGGTCAACGCCGTGTATACCCGGTGACCCACCATAATTCTCCTTGTGTGTGTCCCGCGACTCTTCCCATGGCGACTGTCTGTTTGTCTTGTCTCCATAGCGATGCCTAGCATCATGCGTGTGGCTCCCCTCCCAGTCGAACGACAACGGCCGTTGGGAGTGCCGCGACGCCAGCGCAGTGGCCTGTGGCACCGTCAGCATGCGTATCCCTGCCAGGGCAAAGGTGAGGTCCCGCGTCAGCCGCTGGACGGCGGTAACAGAGTTGTACGCACACACAAGCACCGAGGTGTAGATGTTCCCGAAACAAAGGAGTGGCAGCAGCATTGTCGCGGCGTTATGACGCAATGGTTGTGGCAACGAGACATTTTGTATGATGGATGAGTTGAGCTCCTCCTCGCTCGCCACAGCTTGACTGCGTGCCAATGCAGAGGTAACCACCCAATTCTGCACAGAAGCATCTTCCGCGAGGCAAAGCAAATGAAATGTGGCAAAGTGAAAGTCATCCGTATAAAGTGTGAGAGAGAAAAGGAGCGATGTCCCCGCCTGAGACTGCAGCAGGCCCATCTCTGTTGCGCGGGTGAAGTTCTCAAGACCGATATCAAGCGTTTCCAAGGCATGACTGGCGTGCTCCGCCGGCATGGCCCGCGCATTGCTCACGCGAGCATCTGTTGGGGTCATTCCCTTCAAGCCCTCATGCAACTCCCCGCCCTCTGCGCGCTGCTGCACTTGCTGTGGATCGCCCAGATGCACAGCGAGCTCCACGTCATCATTATCCAGTTCAACCAGGTCCACAACGCTGTTTGCATCAAAGGCAACGAAAGTTGACTCTGCACGGACGAAGCGATGACTTCCAGGCACACCTGCTCTGCTTGTGGATTCTGACATCAAATCGGGCGATGTCGGTTCGATCGACCACGATGAGTTGCTGCACTCATGGCTGCGTCGCTCTGCACAGCGGTTCATAACCATACAGATGCCTTGGGGCAGCAGCCCACATTCCTCGGGTGTGCCCACCACGCCCAGCTGCTTCATCTCTTGTGTGGCACCGTACACAAACACCATGGCGTTCAAGCACTCATCTACAACAGCGAAAACTGCCGGCGTCAGCACCGACGCCATCAGTGGTTCCAGAGACGTCTGGAGCTCATACCGCATAGAACCGTTGTCATGTCCGGCTGCGCCCAAGTCTGCTTTGTCCTCACCACCATCCGGAATGGATGTCTGTAAGCCAAACTCAACTTCAACCACAGAATCCAGCAGTGTGGCGTTATCATTGCAATTGCGTATAGCATCCAAGCATGTAGGGAGATAATCACCCGTGTCCATCCCGCCCGCATGTTTGTAAAATGAGCTTTCACAAAATTGCAGCACATTTCTATTGGGTTTTGTCGATGTGCTCTTTGATGACTGATTGTTGGTCTTGCAGCCTTTTCCTGCGTTACCCTTCTTGTCCCTACTTTTATTGCTGCTGGAACTTTTGCCACTGCACCCCCGGTCGCACACTAGCGCCCACGGCTCCCCACGAAATGACTGTAAAGCCACGTTGACGCACCACCGGCGGAACAACACCGCATGCCCATTACCCTCCGTCGGCATGGTGTCCTCCCAGCAGCAAGCTTTCTCCCCCCCCCTCAGCTTTCAAAAGGTGCTATTTGACAAAAATAAAAAAATAATAATAAACGGCTTGAAGAACGACGCTCGTGCCGCTTTCTCTATACAGAATTGTCGACTTGTTCCTTATATCCTTTTTCGCTTCCTTTCTTCCTTCTACTAAAAGGGTTAATGCACCCACACTTGGGGAAAGGAGAGGCAGACAGAGAGACAGGCAAAGAGAGAAAAGAGCGGCAAGACAGATAGGCAGACTGAATGCTACAGAGCGAAGGAATAAGGCAATGCTGCCGCAGGTAAGCGTGCGGACAAAGCACATGGAGGGAGCCGTGGTGAGCCGCCAGAACAAAAAAAAAAAAGGGACGCATCGGCATGGAGGAAGTCACGTTTTGCAAGGTTAGCTGGACAGGTATAAGTAGTGTTGAGGGTGTCATCAGATTGTAAGAAAAGAAACAAACAAAAAATTCTTCGGGAGAGCCACCACGATATAAACGGTGCTCATAGAGTCACATCACAGAAAAAGAAATACAAGTGAAATATACACAAACAACGGCGCCTCCTATTTAGACAAACAGGAGTCCCCCGTCCGAAAATACGCGAGCCCCTTGAGGTGTATTCTTTTATCCTTTTTCTTTTTTTTTTTTTTNTGATGATGATGATGATGGTCTATCCTTCATCGTAAAGTTCGTGCTGCTCAAGCGCAACGTAGAGTTCAATGCGCACCCACAACTTGCGTTGCAGCTTCTTCACTTTTTGCCTCGCCAAATATCCACGAACCATCCTCTGTATTTGTACAGAGCATCGATTGCGGTAGTGAAAACGCTGCAAGTCTCTCTCTGCCTCTAGTGTGGCGTGGTATCTGTACCCCAGCTGTTTCCGCTCATAATATCCATGCGCAGCACGATGCAGCATGCCAATCTCAAACCATGAAATAGTCAGCAGCATCACAAAGTGTAGCTGTTTACGCCCAGCAAAGCCTCGACCGATGCGCTGCATGAGAAGTATGGCATCCGTGTCACACATCAAAGGCTGATCAGTGAGCCCAGCTGGAACAAGAAAGTCTGGTACCATGTTTACACTTCGATCGTTGCGACAGTCCTCACTGCCGCTGGAGATGATGCTAAAAAAGCTTCTCTTGTCATCCTCCACGCTTGCCATTGTGTTGTCGAACGGAAAGCTCGCCTCCAAGTCTCTCAATGAGACGGAGTTGGGCGTTATGTTCGGTGCCGATGATGGGGAACACGAGAAGCAGCAGGAGGGAGCCTCAGAGGAGGGCGCACTCGAGGCTTGTACGCTGGACACAGCATCACCAGGAGAAAGACCATCCATCTGGTGACAGAACGCCAAACCGCTTATCACAACAGGCGGAGAAGACGAGCGTTCAAAGCCAAGACCAGGTCTGTTTGGCTTTAAATTTAGAAACATCTCGGGTGGTGTTACGCTCTCCTGCTGCATCGGACACTCTACTTCTAGAGCGCCAAAATCATCGTCCTCCGCTAAAGCTGCCCTCATCGGCGTCTTGGGCCGCTTCGTGGCGAAATGCTCCGTGAACTTCTCCTCCACAACCCTTACTTCAGACATTCTCCCCTGGTCCTCTCCTCGATCCTGTTGTTGTTGTTGTTGTTGTTGCTGCTGCTGCTGCTGCTTTTGGGGGTCCACTTGACGTGTCATACGCCCTTGCCACACATTGTTGTCAATTTCTCGACGTCTTTCCGGGGTTTGCGGCAGGATCCCCAAGCAGTCATTTGTATCTTGCCGTACCATCTCCTGCCCGTAGGCAATAAATGTCACCCCGGGCGATCGCCGCCGAGTCATCGTGCTTGTGCTGCTCGGAGGTCCTTCATTCTGAAGGGGTACGCCGTGATTTGCTGACGACGGCAGCACCACCTCTTCGTCACGCAGCACAGCGGTCTCCACTGTCGCCGCCTGTTTCATTTGGTTACTGGGCAAAAAGTCGGCTCTTTGTCGTCTTGCCACATACGCACGTCCCACTCGCTGCAGAAGCATGAGTGAGTTGATCCTTTCTCTTCGTCGTATCATCGGCAAGCGAGAAGAGCTAATGTAAGTATCACTTCTATTGACGAGGTCCAATGCCGCTGCAGACAACTCCGTGAACGTCATTGTGCGGCTGTTCATTGATGTTCTCCGCCGCAGGTGAATATCCTCAATGGCACTGTACTGTGGAAGCGATGGGGGCGCGTCTTCATTCATGGAATCAAGACATATTTGCTGTATTTCTTTCAGATTATAGAGACGATGACGGGCACGTAGGCCTCTGAAAACACGGCACAGCAGCACCACAGCCGCATTGCAACGCGCAATAAAAACCCACCTGCGTGTAACGTAGCCACGGCCCACTCCCTGTAGTAAACGTATAGCGCTCCCCATGTATAGCTGTCGCTTCGGGGAGGCCCGTGCAAGTGGTGTCACAGGCCCACATGTGTCGTGTCTACTGACGTGTTCTTGCGCCACCTCACCTGTTACGACACCACAATCCTGCATATCAGAAGATGTCAAGCTCAAGGCAGATGCTGCTTCTACTGTTTCTACACCGCTTCGCAACTCAGAAACCTTCACTTCACCTTTGTGCAGACTCATAGGAGTGTGTGACGTCAACAGTAACTCTCCCTGGTGTCGATCAAGAGACACGGACGTCACGAGGTCCCGAGTGCTCGCTGTCCAGTTGCTGGTGTCATTGGTGTTGGGATCACAATGTGGCTGCTGATACCTCTCGCATGGTTGATGTTCTGAAAAGCCATTTGAAAAGATTGACTTAGTGTTTTCTCTTGCCACTTCTAAAGCGTTGCATTCAATGTGAGGCTCATGTAGGTCACCATTTTCCGTCGGCATGATCGGCAATGTCGATGACAGCAGATGCACCGTTTTGTTTGCGTCCTTGTCCCACTCACCTTGGGACCGTTGCAAAATAGAGCATGTCATATCAGGCGCCTGGATTGGGGGAGGGAACAGAGTAACCTCTGAGAAGAGCGACAAGGAATGACGAGGCCACCGAGGAATACGCCATGCCTTGGCATCGTCCTCCTCCGCATCCACAGATGTCCGCTCCAATGAGTTTCCATACAGCTCGTGGTCACGCCCCACTGCGGAATGCAACCTCGTCGTGAAAAAGCCGCTGCTCTCTTGAGAATCCCACGGAGTCTTACCTCCACCCAAAGCACTCCTGGATGCAGTCCTTGTCTTTGCCTTTGCGACTGATTCCGGTGCTTTGGTGCAGGAAAAGCTGGAGCGGGCGTGAAGAACAGACGCATTGTATGGGCTGAACCTTTTTTTGTCCGCGGTTCGCCACCCCTTCAGCCGTGGGTTTGCCCGCCTCGCCGGTTGGGCTGGTGGATGCGCCATCACAGCCATCTCGTGTGAAACCACAGTTGTCTCCGGTAACGAACGGCTCTGTTGCCGGGCTTGCAGCGCGGGCTGCTTGCAAATTGGGCCGTGCTGCGAGGAAGACGACTTTGATGCACCGTCCTCCAACTCCATCCGCCACGCGTTCAGCACCGAGTTGACCCGCTGCACACTCTCCATGGGCCTAGCCAACAGAAAAGGCCCTCCAGAGATGCTCGCCTTCGCCTTGGGGGGGCTACTCGCGTGTGCCCCTGGAGTATTCGGATCCTCGTCAAAATACGGATGGCTGGCAAGCGAGTAACCCGGCGTCCCATCCGTCTGAAGGCTGCTGGTGGCAGTAGGCGGAGGCAACGACGATGACAAGGCGGAGCCGCTCTGTGACACTGGGGTGTCCCGCTGCACCTCACGCAGCAGCTCCATCGGACACAGCCCCCATCGCGTCACGAGCACCACAAACCTCGGGAACATTATGACAGACCACACTTGCAGCAACGGCAGCGCCTTCACCGCGGGCGGCGACGCAGTCCACGAGTCCCACGACTCGCCACACTCCTTTGGTGGACTGCGCTCTTCACCAAGAGGACCGATTGAGTACAACAACTGTCGTGGAAAGCGAGGGAGGCGCTGCAGAAGCTGCTCCGCAAAGAGTAGCCATGGTGAGCCCGCAGTGACGTCGCCTGGCGTCGGCGACAAGGTAACAATACTCAGCTTGTCATCCACTGGATACTGTCGTGCACCGATAAGTAGAAACACACGAAAGTAGGCCTTGGTCATGGCCTCAGAGCACGCTAGAGACGATGATGATATTTTTGTTCTTGTTGCTGATGCGGTGGTGGAAGCCCCACCCGCCACGTCACCCTCGGCGAGTCTCAGGAAGGGTAGCAAATCACTCAATGCAACGGTACCATGTTCGTCTAAGCACGAATCAAGCAAAAGGCCAATGGATGGATCCTCGCGGATTCCCGGCGGAAGGCTCTCCTGTAGGATGTGTCTGGGTATCCTGGTATCCGCACCAGCTGCTCCTGCAGGAAAGGAGGAAGATTTCCCAAGGGAAAATCGTGAATTGGTAAATCTACAGCCCTGTGATACTTCCACCGGTATATGCTGCGTTCTACAGGCAGAAACGGTCGGTGATGATATGAATGTTACTGGGTCCTTGCTGAGGGAGAAGAAACTATTCGTATGTGCCCTCACAATATTGTCATGAACAGCTTCCGCTATGCGCAGGGCATTATCCGCCCCGCTCTTGTTGCTGGTGCTGTATGGCTTCTCCTCAGCACATTGTAAGTGAGGTGTCTCTCCTCCTTGCACAACCTGAGCACTTGGACGGACACCCTCTCCGCTTGTTTGGGGACGACGCGGCATTCGTGGCTGCGATGCCTCGTGATGCTCCATGGACGTTCGCCGCAACATTTCATTGGCCAGCTGCAGCAGTGACCTAGTGGATGCGACAACATCAGTCCTGCTGCTGCTACTACTGCTACTGCATCCACCCCAGCATGAGCGATGCTCGGCTGTGCGGCTCCTCAGACGCCGGCTCTGGACTGAAGGTTTCCTACGCGCATGAGTAGTGGTTGACACGATATTTCCACCCGCCGTGTTTTCCTCCTGTGGCGACCCCACCGACACATTGTGGAGGGGGCGCGCCTTTTTGTCCGAGCGGTTGGCACCCAGCATGAAGCAACAGACGATAAGATGCACGTGTTGCTCAGCCTCCTCAGGCGTGGTTAATGCACAGTACCCCCACCACGTCTGCTGGTAACGCTTCCCAAATCAGAATGGGGGGGTAAAGCAACAACCTAAAAACAAACACACACACACAAACACAGATAAAACACAAATGAAAAAAGCAAGCACTTCCTGTTACAGTTTGTTTTTCTATTCCCTTGTATGACACCCTCTTCTTGTTCTGGAGCTGTGCTCGTTGCTTCGCTTGTACAGTTGGGAAGGTATCTTAAAGTGCTCTTGAGGGAGAAAAAAGAAAGAAAGAAACAACAAAAAAAATATATAAGTGCATGGCGTAGTTTCGTTGTCACACACCACCGCACACACAGACAGTCAAACAGAGAGACAGGGCGAGATGGGAGGGGGGCAGGGGCGTGTGCGCGTAAAAAAAAATATCCTACCACTGCTCGAATAATCCAACAGCTCTCCAGTGCACACAAACAGAGGGAATAGACGAGGCAGGAAAGCCGGGGCATCCGAATAAAGTCGTCCCCCACCACCAGAGACAAGCGTATATATATACATATACATATATATACATATACATATATATATATATATATACGCAGACAAGCAGCGACACATTACACGGCCTGCCCGAGCAGCCGCAGCTTCTCATCTTGCACAAAGTCTTGCAGCGCTGCAAACGTCGGCATCTCCGCCACAGCCGCGGGTGGTGCCTCTCCCATCACAAGCCATTTGAATAGGTCGTTGTCGAACTGGCGCAGCAGTGCATCGTACTCCTCCAGCTGCGCGTGTGTCATCGTGTCGAGGTTCTGGCGCGCGAAGACGCCGAGAATGATGTCCATCTCGACCATGCCACGGTAGCTGGACTGATATAGCAGGCGGCGACGCTTTGCGTCGTCAGGCTCGTTCACCGGCGTCGGCCGCGTGTCACGGAATTGCAGGCCGCTGCCCTCCTTCGCCTGCCCCGCAGGCTGCGGCCGCTCACGCCACATGCGCACCAGCTCCTCGTGGTGCTTCGCACGGGGTGCAAATCGTCGTGAGAGTCGCCGCAGCATCTGCGCACAGCTATAGAAGTTTACTCGAGTAAAACGCTAACACGTGATTTATTTCGCGGTTTTCACCGTTCTTGTTGTCGTTGTTCACTATTATTTGTCACCTTTGAGTTATTCTTGAAGGACAGGTCCGACAGCGGAGGCAACAACGATTATTATTGGGGACCTGTGAGTGCATCCAGGAGAAAATACAGCACGGACAGAGAACTACACTCACACTCAGAGGCAGACACAGAACTACTCTCACACAAAAGGTGCAGGAGGACACAACTACCACAAGCCCCTACGTGCTGTGCGCTGCATCTTCTTCATCGAGCCCTTCCGCCACCGATCCGTCTTGTGCGCACTGACAATTGCCGCTGGTCGCTTGATGGGTCCACACTCCACTGGTGGCACCCACGAGGCCTTTTGGATCATCTCCCTTAGTCGCCTCAGACACGCCTCCTTGTTCTGGTGCGCGCTGCGGTGCTCGTGAGTTGTAATGATAAGCAGCGTCTCATCCGACGTGAGCGCCTTGCCACGTTCGTTATCCTTCAATTTCTGCACCAGCTCCTCGTCAAAGTGGTCACTGAGTGAGGTGACACTGGCACGCAGTTCCACCTTGTTGCTGCTGCTGTTCGCTCCCTGGCCGCCCGGCCCGCCTCCACGCACGGCAAGCACAGTGTAGCAGCTCTCGTCAACGTGGATGTCGCGCAGCTGTGCAAGGCGGTAGTACCCCTCCTCCTTGAAGGAGCTGATGTGTGAGCGCCTGCACTGCAGCAAGAGTGCAGCGGGAACCATGCGGCCCCGTGCATCAACCGCTGCTATCGACAACGCTCGGCTGAACCAGCAGCGCATCGTGGCATTCACGCGGGTATCCAAGTAGACAGTCTGACATACATTACGTGTTGCCTGCGCTTGCGCTGCTGCTGTCACTACTTCTGCAAGCCAACCCAACATTCGCCGCCCCATTCTCCTTGTGCTCTGCCACTCCGCAAGTCCCCTCCGTCTCTGCTGCTCTCACTCCTCCACGCGTGGGGCGGGGAAGACTGCAGCGCGGGGACCCTCCGCAAATCCCCCTTCAGAGCGAGGCTCAAGGCCAATATTTAAAACAAGAAAGTGAAGTGGAAAAAAAAAAANAGAGAGAGAGAGAGAGGAGGGGAAGTAGCGAAAAAAATTGCAGCCGCAAATGGCGGCATTACCACAACGACAAAGCCCCCGTCGCATTCGTGTTCTTTCTGCTTCCACTTTGACTACCTCGCTTTCTCTCATTCTCTCCTTCTCTTCCCCAGCAGCGGCGGGCAAGCCATCATCCCCCGCTGTCGTCGTCGCCGCAATGGTGCGAGGCCGCTGCGCTCCGCTTCCCGGTGTTTGTCCCCGCACTCCCCTCGCGCGCCTGCTGTCAAGAAGGCAAAGAACAAAACAGGAACAACTAAAGGGTTCCTGCAGGGAGAGCAGTATCGACAGCAGAAAGAAAAAAAAAGAGGGGAGAGCATCAGGCAGGCCTCCCTCTTGGAAGAATACAAAGAGTCAGACGACCTGACCACACCCTACGCAGTGCCCCCACCACCCTGCCGGCTAAAACCCTAAATTGATGTCGTTCCCGTCACGCCCCTGCTGTTGTTGCTGCTGCTGCTGCTTTTGTGCCCGGCTGGCGTCCCCACGCACGAGCCCTCCTACGTCAGATAATTAGCACTAAATATTTTACACAACTCTCATTGCTCTTACGACAACTGCTCAAATGTCCGCTTTGCGTTGGGACAGTCCCATACCCAGTGGCGCATGTTCACGAGGTCGTTTTCAAGCTCCCCAATCGCCTTGCTAGCGAATTCCTTCGGTATCTTCCTCTTGAAGGATTCGACAATCTCGACACAGCCCGCCAGGTACCGCTCGCGCTCCACCGCGTTCCACACCTCGCGCTGCACGGCATACCTCGCCTTCACGATTGCAGTGTAGCGCCTCTCCGTCATTGCAGCCCAATGCATCATGGATGTGAGGTAATTGAGTTTCTTCTCGATGTGGCTCCGCGCCGCCTCGTTGCTCGAGTAGTCGCCAAAGAGGTACTTGTAGACGGGGTAGCGGTTCTTGTAGATGATGTCGAAGAGCATATTGTGTGAATTCACGCGGTCCTTCCAGAACGGGTCGAAGTCGTAAGTCCAACTGATATTCATCAGTCGGTTGGTATCGTCCTCGATGCAGCTCAGCAGGTACGTTTCCACCGCCGACAGTGTGACGCCGTCGGGCTCCTCCACCACCGGCACGTGCCAGAACTCGAAGCTACGGTACTGCCTCTGATTGGTGATGCGCTTTATCCACGGCGTGCGCGTCGCCCACTCCTCGTTCGGCGTCGACCCCCAGACGGTGTAGATGCCACGGGCAGGTGCAACAAGCAGCGACGCAGCAGGAGCGGCGGCGATGGTGGCTCTCAAAACGTGTCGGCGCATTGTTGAATATGTTTGCTTCTTTCTTTACTCTTTGTCTGACTTTGCGATTCCTTTTCCTTTTTTTTTTTT